TCAAAACTCTTGACCTTTAGAACCTTGTGGGACAGGAACTGTCATTTCATTCATTTGAACTCAGAAATACAGGTTCACCCATCCTGAGACTTTCTTTCTTGAAGATTCAAGTGAAAAGAACACTCTCTTTTTATTATCATTACTATTTTTCAAATGTTGATAATCAAAGTGTCTTAGTTCAAACCATTTTAGATGTGGCAGTGAACTAATCAATTTTATTAACTGTGTAATGATTTTTATTCTCATGTCAAAGCTGTTACAGAGTAATTATGCCTTTTCTGATTTCTGCTTTTGAATGAGCAAGTGTAAGTTGGTCCAAGGTTGGAATAAAACGCAAAACAAGTTGTTATGTTAAAACTGTCATGTTTTTAAAATCCTCTCAGACGTAAATAGAGAAGTTTTGGCACCTGTTGCTGAAACAGCGCCAAAACAAAACTCTCTCTGTCTGTGAGAACATTTCTGATCTGTTTCATAACAATTCTCGCTGTCTCTAACCTCTTACGTCACAAAACACACCCCGTCTGGTCGTTTCTGACCAATGAACAAATCCCAAAAGTGAACCGGGAAACAGCTCTTTAAAATGTCAGTACTTCCTGGTCTACTCGGTCTTGGTTCTGTTGGAGTGCTGATGGAGTTCTGTTGGATACACAGTCCAACCAGTTCTGTGAGAGACGGGATGATCCTGACAACAGAGCTCTTCCGAGTTCCATGGGAGTATAACACCTTTCACTCGCCACTACTTCTGACGAGCTACAGCCATACTAAGGAGACGCTGGACAGGTAGCGTTAACGGAACACCATATCTGCTGATTATCATCAGAAAGGTAATGGGTCAAGTTTCCTACCAAGCGTACCGAGGCGAGCTGGGTTTCTGATGGAGAGTGCCGTTCTGGTGAAAACTTACTTCCCCTCAAACCCCATCTTACTCCCTCTAAACTTCTTTCCATCTTTAAACTTTTCTATCAAGTAGAAATTCTTCCAGATATTTTAGAAATGTCTGTGTAAAATGCTCACCCACATTCATGTGGGTAAAAGATCATAATTGTACAGTTTTCATAAATGTCTGTGGTGAAGCAACGGAAAAATCATGGCCGTATGATTTTTCCTGATTGATTGCTTATGTTGTTATTTTCATAATTTGCCAAATTAATGTAAATGTTTGATGTTAAATTTTGATTCTGTAAATAAATGACCGCATTCATTTTGATGGGTCAAATATAAATGACGTCTCACGTTTGCATTTCCTTAAATTCAATGCACGTTTTATTCAGTCCAGAAAAATGAGGAATCCGTGTTAAATGATGAATATATCTGAGCATCTGTTCATCTACAGAACTATACTGATAACAGTTTTATCTCTTCATTAGATAAAAAGCATAGACATGTAGAAAACGACAGGCTCCTCACAGCAGTATCAGTCCAGCAGATGGCCATTAACAACAGAGGTGTTCAGTCTCCTCATCACTACCCGCCATTACCAGATGGCCTCATCTAATCTCATATCTGCTCGTATGTGTGAAAGGGTATGTGTCTGTTTTCTATAGCGGTATAAACAAGTGCAGACACTATCAGACAGCCTCATTTCACCCTCTGATGTTAAAAACCGGACAGATTGGAGCAAAGCCGTCACGGTCGTGAATCACTGACCCTCTGTTGCTCAAATCACCAGGTGTGTGTGTTGGTAGTTGTTAGCGTTGTGTGTGTCACTCACCTGGGTAAGGTACCCTGCCTTTAGTAACAAGCTCAATGAGGAGGATCCCAAAAGACCAGACGTCTGATTTGATGGTGAAGCGTCCATACAGTGCTGCCTCCGGCGCCGTCCATTTGATGGGAAATTTAGCTCCTGAGTGAAAGTGGAAAAGACGTTTCCATTAATTAAAGGTGAGCTGTTTCTTTTTTGACATTGACAAAAAAAAAGCCTCTTTGATCTAATAAGTATTATTCAATCACCAAATTACAGCTCAGTATCTGCAAAACTGGCTGTTATAGCACATTTATTTGGTTTTGTTTATTTATTTTTTCTAATTTAGTATAAAGATTGTAGCAACAGATTCACTGTCATCATGCAGAGCAAGACATGGGGAAAAATGAATGGAAACTAGTCTCAGTGCAAATATCTTTGAGATATAACTTTCTACCCATCTCTATCTCTATTAGTTTTCTCCTCTGGCTCTTGCTCAAGACAGACACTCCTGCTCTCCCTCCCCCTGTTCTCCCTTTCCCCTTGCTTCTGCTCTCTGTGTCTTGGAGCTCTTGGTACACATCTCCCAAATGAAAAATACTCATGGGTCTGACGAGCTGGACTTTCAACGAAATCGACAAAATCTTTTCAACAAAACGACTGGGTCCTGGAGAACCCTCTTGCCCGGCTGAGACTCACGCCGCAGGGTACATCAGAGATCAGCTGATGTGTCCCTCAGTTCTGTCTCAGAAGGATGTTGAAGGTGTTTATATTTTGGATTTATGATAGCTGGGGTTCTGCTCTTTAGCATTGGTGGGGCTCTGTTTTATCAACTTTTGAAGAAGACATGGGCAGCGGTTTCGGTCATGGCAAAGCTTCTGAGTCTGTGTTTGGTTCATGCTATGAGGACTCAAAATCAGCTGATTAATGAGCTAAACCGTAAGATGGGGGCAATTTGTGAGAATCGCAGGCCACCTGCGGCTTCTAGGACTCGACAGCATGTGGGATCGACCTTAAGGAGGCTCATAACGTGGATCAGTGGAGCGGAAGACTTATACATTTGGTCATTTTGGACCAAGAAAGTTTCAGCAGGACTCGAGGCTGACAAGAAAAAAAAAAGAAACAGTCCGCCTGAAGAAAATCAACAATTGTGGCTTATCTGAATCTGACTCCCCCGTTTGGCCTCGGATACGAGCCGATTATCAAATTTCTCCTGGGACATGGGTAAATAGGGAAAAAGCTTCATCTATTGGACCCCCCCCCCCCCCCGGAGAACTTCTGTGCAGAATTATCAGAACTGTGCCGGCTGACCAACACCAACATATTATCAGGACTATGGCCTATCTTGCATATCTTGATATCTTGGCCTATCTGTCTTGACATCAAATGCATATGAAATTATGTTTTTAAATGTGCTTGCTGGTAGAGTTTTTTGACGTCTTAAATCATGTCCTGACAGGCCAAGATGGGAAGAGATCTTTTTGGTAATACCACTATCCACCCTCATGGCCTTTTCCCCTTTTCTATCTAAAAGTATTCTGATAAAGAATAAGGGACCATGCAGCAGCAATGTACACTCCACTCATCTTTCAGATGACTGTACGAACATAATTTCACTGTATCCCAATAAAATGATAATAAAGCTTATTCTGATTCTGATTCTGATTAGGCAGTTACACAAATAACTGTTCATCTCAGACAGATTAATCCTTCCTGCTTGTAAAAAGTGCAACAAAACAGAACAAACAGAAGCATCTGGTTTCCAATATCAACCTAATTCACCATAATGGGAGACAACAGGAAGGTATCGTCACTGCGAGGTCGCTGAAATTTCCATTTCTACGCTGACACCCCAGCTGCCATTGATTCTCACAGAGTGCGTTTCTGTGTGCACACCTTGTCTCGCTGTGTACTCGTTGTCTTCTATCAGCCTGGCCAAACCGAAGTCGGCGATCTTGCAGACCAGGTTCTCGCCCACGAGTATATTCGCTGCTCGCAGATCCCTGTGAATGTAGTTCATCCTCTCGATGAAAGCCATCCCGTTGGCGATCTAAAAATAAAGCGTTTGTCTTCTTCGGTAAATCATTTTTAGCTTCTTACACTTTGAAAACCTGTCAGACATAAAATCAAGTGAAGGAACAAAATAAAATTTGTCGAGGGAACGTGTTCACATGGCATAGTGGTTATTTTTATCCGCTCAGTGGCTTAATATAGAGCTAGAGCGCTGAACTCAACAATTCCTCTTCTTTTGGCATTTCCCTCTTCTGGGGTCGCCACAGTCATCCTCCTCCATCTCACTCTGTCTTCTGCATCCTCTGTCCTCACTCCAACTACCTCCATGTCCTCTCTAACTGCATCCATATAGCTCCTCTTTGTCTTTTAAACTCAACAAAGACAAAAAATAAAATGAAAATGTGTATTCAAACGGCAGGTATTTGCCTTACCTTGGCAGCCATGTCCACCAATGTGACGAGCTTCAGGAATTTACCATCACCTTCTTTGACAAAATCAAGCAAACTTCCTGTAAAAAATAGGACAAAGGTGATGTGAGCTAATATACTCCTTACGGACCTTATGTTCTGCAGTCAGTATGGGGTGCCATTTGTAAAGTTGCACAGTCAAAAATTAACATCAATAGTTTTTTTTATTTAGCCATTCATAAGAAAAAAACTAGTTGAGTCATGTTTTCACCATGTCATTCATACATTTATAAATGTCATAGTTCCAAACCAAAGGTTTGATTTACAAGCTAAATATTTAGTTTACAAACTAAATACTTAACTTGCAAGCTAACTATTAGTTAGCAACCTAAATATTTAGTCAGCAAGCGAAATATTTAGTTCCACTCTAAATATTTATTTTCCAAACTAAATGTTTATGTCCAAGCTAAATGTTTAATTTACAAACAAAAATTTAACTTGCAAGTTAAATATTTAGTTAGCAAATTAAATAATTATTTTATAAATTAAATATTTAGTTTGGAAAATAAATATTTAGGCCCAAGCTAAATATTTAGATAGCAACTTAAATATCTATTTTGGAAATTAAATGTTTAGCTTTGAAAATAAATATTTAGGTTTGAGCTAAAAATTTAGTTAGCAAATTAAACATTTAGTTTAGGAATTAAATGTTTAGCTTAGAAATATTCTTTTTTAGTTTGGAAATTAAATATTTAGCTTGGACAATAAATATTTAGTTTGGAAATTAAATGTTTAGGTTTGAAAATAAATTTTTAGCTTGGAAATTAAATATTTAATTTACACTTAAATTTTTAGTTCACTAACCACATATTTAACTTGAAAGTTAAATATTAAGTTTGTAAACTAAACATTTATCTTGCACATAAACATTTAGTTTGTAAACTAAATATTTAGCATAGCGCTAACTACTTCGCTTGCTAACTAAATATTTAACTTGCATGTTAAGTATTTAGTTAGTTTGGAACTATGACATTTATAAATGTATGAACGATATGGTGAAAAATATGACTTTGGAAAAAAAAAGTTTTTTTTCTTATGAAAGGTTAAATAAACCAAAATATTGCTGTTAATTTTTGACTGTGTAACTTTACAAACGGCACCCACATAGACTCAAAAGAAAGTTAGAGAAAGAGCTTAGGGGCAGGGACATTAAGGGTTTAATGAGGTGTTTTTGTGCCAAATAAAGTTTTTAGATTTATTGGATCCGAACATTTTAAGGGATGTGATTCACACAGTGATAGCTGATCCAGTTTTCTCTGTCTTTGAAACTGTGGAAACATTAAACAGTTGCTCCCGCAAAGTGGAAACAAATTGTAAGCTTTTAGACCACACAGCAGCATAGATCACAGAGTTGCCATTTCACCACACATAAATTAAATCACAAAAGCAAAAGCACTGCAGCTGAAGCTACAAAAACCTCCCACCAAACTGCGGCTTTTTTCAGTTTCACGCTTCAAAGAACCACAAGGGACATCCATGGACTCAGTCTGTGCAGCACATTATAAATAAAATACTCGTAAAATTTAAATTTTTCCTTCAAGGAAATTTCCAAGCATAAATTTGACTGTGCTGTTGACATACAGAAGTCATGAGATCTGATTTGTGCCTGAAAAATCTGCAGGCTCAGACCTGACGTTCTGTTTTTACTCAAAAATAGACCTTAATAGAATCACCCAACATAAAACAGCTGATGTATTTTATTCTCTGAGGGATAAGAGCTCATAAATATGGCAGTTTGTAGCTTTTCAACAGACTGTCAGGTTGTGTTAGGTACCTTTAGACATGTATTCTGTGACAATGTAGATGGGTTCCTCAGATACAACTGCGTAAAGAGGCACTAGTTTGTCATGCCTGAGTTTCTTCATGATCTGGGCCTCCTGGAGGAAAGCCTCAGGCGACATGGTGCCCGGCTTCAGCGTCTTTATGGCCACCTTAGTGGTGTCGTTCCAAGAGCCTGCAGAGACAGAGAGAGGGAGCAAAATGTCCAGAAGCCACTAGAGAAATCAGTGTAAGTAATCATCTGGGAGCAAAGCAGTCTCATTAATTATACCTGTTAATTGCTTAGACATGTGCTGTCATGCATGCACTCATTGTGAAGAAATAACTCTGGGTTTAACCGATTTAAACTCAGCAGATAAACTCCTTGTTTGGTTAGAAACACAATAAATGTTAATATGCGATGTCGCATCAACTCCTTGAACCTGGAGCTAATTTACAGGTCTGCGCTTAAATATAGGTAATTCAAACTAAATGCTTAACAATTTAAGACTTCAAAAAGCCTTGTCTCCAGAAAGATTCAGATCTTCTGATATTGGGTTTTGTGGAAAGGATATGAACAAATAACATCTTACCTGCTGTAGATAGCTGTTCGAAATATTTCAGTTTGGAGAAACATAAATTTGTCTGAACGAGACTCCGATGCAGACTGCTGCTGTTCTAAAACACCATTTTAAACAACTGTATTGTGGTTTACACAAACAATAGTTTATAAACATCATTACATAATTGCTCATTTTGCATTAGATGTTGTTTACATAAAATATTAGGTACTGTTGACAGCACAAATACAAACAGCTGTAACACTTTCATTGCATGCTGGTGCACTTCCTGCAGAAATAGATTATTAACAACTATGTAATGCAAGCTTAGTGCTGCTGAAAACAGCATTTGCTTGAACTGCTAAAACATTTTTGAGAAGGGAGTTGTTTTAAGACAACAGCGATGTGTTTAGGTCTTAGTCCTGACCAGACTACCTGCTAGCCAGTCAGAATTGACATCACTCCAAACTGAGGTTGATTTAAAATTTATCCACAATTAAAAGTTCTGTTAGACATTAATTGTCTATAACCTTTCTACAAAATCCCATTTCAAAAGATATGAACATTTGTGTCAAGGGAATTGGTAACACTTTACAAAAAGGTGCATACAATTTGATTAACTACTAGGGAACGCCTCAGGAACTAATCAGGAACAAAGCAGGAGCTAATAGGTAGTTAACCAGTACTTACTGAGGAACACACAGCCAAGCCTTATTAGAGGACTACTGTATTTTTTGGCCTATAAGTCATGTTTTTTGCATAATTTGCCTAATTTGCATGCCCTGAAACTTATAGACCAAAGCATATTTATAAACCAATTTTTGGCTGAGAGATGACCGTTTTCATTCATTCTGACCAAATTTTTTTTTTGAACAGTACCATTTTCAGCCACTAGATGGAAGCAGAGTAGTAGTAGCAGTAAGGCAAGCTGTTGTATCATTTAATAGGTAAATGTGGCTATAATGACAAATTCAAAAAAGTTCAAGACAAAAACAACTGGACTTTATTTATTATAATTTACTTTATACTTTATTATTTTTGTCTTGAACTTTTTTAATGGATCATGTATTGGATGACTGAGAATCTTCACCAGTTATTAATGACACAATCGGCTTGCCCCCGCCTTTGTTCTGCTCGCTGCTTGTAGGAACCGTCAAACCAGCTGCCCCGCCCTGGCAAAATGCAGCTAATATGACCATTAAAGTGCATTTATTAAGTAAAAGTTCAACTGAGACACACCTTTACTATAATTTTGAGCAAAGAAATAATTGTTTTATGTGCTTTTCTTTTTAAATTTTGAAGAAACAAGCAGCGTTCCTCCTCCCTTTTTTTTCCTCCCTCTGCATGATCCACAAAGGCAGCAAAACTATTTTTGAAATACAGCTGATTTGACCATTAAAGTCCTTTTATTAAGCAAACGTTAGACTGAGACACACCTTTACTATAAAATCGAGCAAAGAACTAATTGTTTTTAGTTGGTTATCTTGTTAAATTTCGAAGAAATGAACAGCGGCTCGAACAGCTGAACGTGCACACTTACGCAAATCAAGTTTTGAAAATCAGCTGAATTGACTGTCAAAGTGCATTTATTAAGCAAACGTTAGACTGATACACACATTTAATATAATTTCAAGCAAAACAAAATATTGTTTTTAAGTGTTAATCTTGTTAAATTCTTGTTAAAGTCCTCCTGTGCATGCTCCCACGGCCGCTATTTGGCAGCCAATCGATTTTTGGCACAACACCGGCCCACATTTCTGGGTTGTCAGCAGTGACATGTAACAAACGCGACGCATCAGCGGTGACGCATAATAAATGCGACGTATACGGCGAAGCAAAATATTTATGGATTTTTCCAATTTTTTAGACATATTTGGACTGATGGACTTATAGGGCGGTGCGACATGTACGGCGAAAAATACGGTACTGGTTTGTTACCTGTAGTGAACCTGATCTGACCCTGATCTGACCCTGATGACCTCAAATCTATCAGATGGACAGGGACTGTTATTTCATTGATCTGAATACAGTCTGAGCCATCTGATGACTTTCTTTCTTGAATTAATCAAGCAGAAAAGACAATTTTTATGATCATCACTGTTTACAAATGTTTGATAATCAAATTGTGTTAGTTCACTCAATGTTACAGGTTGAAAAGAACTACTCATTTTTATTTTACATAAACAGTAAGTAATGATTTTTATTCCTCATTCAAAGAAGAAATCAGGTTAATATGCATTTCTTGATTTTTCTGTCTGCAATGTAAGTATGTTAAAGGTCGTTTTTCGGTCAACTAAAATGTTTACCGAGAAAGATGTCATGTTTAAACTTTTTCAGAAGATTATAAGTGTGAGACTCCACGGAGTCTGAAGTCCTACAATAATCTTTCTGTTCGTTACTAAACAATCCTTGATTTTTAATAACATCTTACATCATACACCACACCTCTATTCCTGGTCCATCGACCAATCAAAAGCTCTCAAATGAACCGGAAGTCGACCCATTTAAAATGTGGCAACTTCCCAGTTCATGTTGGAATTCGGGAGAATTCGGGAGAATTCGGGAGAATTCGGGAGAATTCAGGAGAATTCCAGAGGCTGAGGAGATGAAGAACTAGAGAGTTGCTGGAGTTGAAAGACAATTAAGAGTCTGAGAAGTTCTGAAGAATGAAAGGAGTTCAGAGTTCTTGGGTGCAAACGCATTCAGGATGATCCAGAGACGTTTTGGGATTATAATTTCTGTTTGAAAACCACGTACGACTCTCTGAGGGTTTGGTAGTTCTCACGGAGACGCTGAAAAGAGTCAGAAAGGAACCTACGCCGACGCTGATTTCATCATCAAGGTAGATGGTTCTATTTTCGACCAAGTGTACCGTGGGCAAGCTGAGATCTGATGGAGCGTGCAATTTCTGGTCAAACAGATTAATTCCCTCACATATTTCTCTGTAAGATAACTCCATTTCATCTTAAAACTCTCCTCTTTCTCATAAAATCAGTACAGATATCTTAGGAATATCTGAAGCAAAGTCCTTGATCACCGCCGAGTGATCGATGTCCCTTTTATGTGAAACTTGTCTGTTATTATTTTCATATTTTGCCAAATCAATGTAAATGTTTGATGTTAAACTTTGATTCTGAAAATAAATGACCGCATTCATTTTGATGGGTCAAAGATAAATAACGTCTCGCGTTACATTTCTGTTAAATTCAAGGCACGACATTACACAGTCAGAAAGATGAGGAACTCGTGAATATTGTGTATATATATACCTCAAGTATATGTATTACTACATACCACAGAAACATAGTAAAGATTACAGCAGTACAAGATTATGAAATTGATGATGTCTTTCATCAATAGGTTTACAAAAGAGAAAAAAACAATAAAATCAGTAATCACTAGGAAACAGGTTTTTGACAATTACGAGCTGTGACCTCACTGGTGCAGGGTTTATTCAGAACCCACATGGAGAAATTCTCCTCTGTTTCTGTGGTAACAAACCATTTGTTCCGTAATAGGGCCTTTATTTAGTACTGGTTATTTAAGTACTGGTTAACTACCCATTATCTCCTGATTTGTTCCTCTTTGCCTTCCTTAGTAACTACTCATTAGTTCTTGATTAGTTCTTCTTCATTTACAAGGTAACTAACCAGTAGTCCCCTAACAAGGCTTGGCTGTGTGTTCCCCAGTAAGTACTGGTTAACTACCCATTGGCTCCTGTTTTGTTCCTGAGGTGTTCCCTAGTAGTTAGTCAAATTTTGTGTACCTTATTGTAAAGTGTTACCAGGGAATTTAAAGATTTGTGGATGTTTATCACTGCTAATGTTAAATTAATGTTGAACCATGTGTATGAGGTCAGAGAGTTCTTTTTCTCTCTCAGAGAGGAGCCTGCGGGCACCTGACGCCTCCGAGTCTAAGAGGCTGAGGTCATCACGCTGATAAGCATTATAAAAACTAGGGATGCACGATATTATCGGCATGGTATCGGCCGATATTAATGTTAAATTTCAATATCGAACATCGGCCATTCCATTAAAATAACTTGCCATAATAAAAGGCAGTGTTTTTGCCTGCAGTGGCAGCGCAACGCGATGACATCACATGCGCCTACCCGATCTCACGGCAGAGAGGAAAATTCAAAATGTCGGCGGTTTATGAATTATGTTGAGCCTTGCTACATCGTCCCCAGTCAGAGATATTTTTCTGACGTGACGTTACCCGAGATACAAGCCATCATTTCCGACATCATTGAGAATCTAATAGCCTATAGCATGACTTGTTGGGTAAGTTTTACCACAGACATTTGGACGTCGTGTTAGCCCCATTAGCATGATTAAGTCTTACAGCACAATAGATAGAAAAAAACTTTGAACTTAAAAAGTCTGTCCTTCATGCACAAGAGTGCAGAGGATCCCACACTGCAGCTAGGAACCTGGAACAAGCCTCAACAAGTGAGACAGCATCACAGGGGACTAATGCTAATAAATAACATTTAACACTTTTCATTTAATATAAGTTAAAGTATTATGCATATCATATGGCTGTTACTGAATATATATCACCAGCTCTTACAGCTGTTGCACAATTTTTGTAACAAATAAGCCTAAATAAGAGAGCTATGTTCTGAAAAAGGAACATATATATATATAAAATATCGGGATCGGCATCGGTTATCGTCTGAATAAGTTTTAACATATCGGCATATCGGATATCGGCCAAAAATCCAATATCGTGCATCCCTAATAAAAACACTTCCTGCACACTGTCCGGTGCAGACCTTCAATGAAACATCTGTGTGAGCCTGTGTGAACTTTACCCTTGCAACTGGGTTAAAAAATCTTCTCCGGTCTTCACGTGCGACTCTTTTTTATATGTAAGTACATAATGAAAGGATATTTTTATCCAACACTTTGCTTTAAAGTTTTGTTTTTTTTACATGGTCTTACCCATCCAGACCTCTCCAAAGCAGCCCTGACCCAGTTTGACCTCCAGATGCAGCGACTCCCTTGGAATCTCCCAGGCGTCTTTAGCCAGTCCCTGAGTCTGAGGCTTGACTGTGAGGCAAACTGCGGTGAGCTTGTGGCAGAGACCGTCTGCATGCTCTGTGATGGAGATAAAGAGGTGAAAATGAGACGGCTCCACTCAGTTCGAAGCAGTAGCAGACAGATTTAAATCCTTCAGGCTGCAAACGAGCGCGGAGGCTGAAAAATCCTAACCGCACCATTAACTGCATCTCCCTTAGCAGCCCACTGAGCTGACAAGATGATCCTCTGAATCTGACAGAAGACGGCGATGAATAATGAGACAAGCGGTGCAAATGACATACCTGTGTAGTGTTTGACGAGTTTCTGCAACGTGTCAAACTGGGCTCGTGTGGTGATGTAGTATCCACTATTATCAAGCTTGCGGATCTTGTAGTGTTTCACGTTGTCTCCTTTGACTTCCTCCCAGTCTCGAATAGAAAGAGAATAAGCCCCTAAAGGAAGGCAAGAGGAAATGTTCACCCTTTGTGCTTTTCAAGGATCAAACTGGATTCACGAGCCTCTTTGAAACACATAAAATATTTCTTAAATATGTCAAAAATACACAGGTCTTCGTCAATTTCTTGGTACTTTTCACTGTCCATCTATCAGTACCGGTATGTAAAATATAGTTAATACGTACAAAATAGTAAAACATAAAAGACAAAGATAAGACTAAATCAGAATGTAATAGCGGTGAGTAATGCCCCTTTTCCACCACTCCTGCTCAGCCCGCTACGGAAAGAACGCTATTCTACTAGTAGTTTTTAGCTGATTTGAGGCTGATTCGGCACCTTTCTTTGTCCATGCTTCTCTGGTGGGACCGTTCGAGCTGAGTCGGCACCTAAACGTGACGTCAGAACACTGTCGGTCACTGATTGGTCGGGGGGGGTCCCTGGATCTCTCAGAAACTTTTCAACGAGCTGCCATTTGCAATTTCTCGGAAAGTGGAGCAGCGGCTATTTTTATATTTCTATTTTTAAGATCTTAAAAACAATAATGACAACATTGTATTTAATGCTGAAGTCCAGGAGTTTTTTTGTGCTTGGTGACCGACAACAAATTCGAGCGAGACGAGCTGCCGACCCGTTGAAGCACGCGAGGCTGGGGCCCGGACCTCGGCCTCGCGTGCTCACAAAGGCCCGATTCCGAGCCCTGGCAGGCGGGAGGACCGGGTCGGAGGGTGGAAACTTTTTTATTAATTTTTTTAACGTTTTATGCATAAAAATTAAAAAGTTAACTCAGCTGAAAAATCATAAAAAGACTAAATTATGGGATCTCGCAGGAATATTTCCCTAAAATCTGTTTAAAGAAGAGCCTTTGGTTCAACTTTATTCTAACCCACGGATGTACAAATCACAAAACAAGAATTACACTTTAAATCAAAGCTAAAATCAAGTCTGTATACAAGAAACTAAACCACATATCTAAACTGAACAATAAAAGAAGACACAATGAGTGCAAATACACCAAATGATGAAGAATATAGAATTTTAAATATAGATGCTATAGATATAGAAGTTGTTTTAGATAAAGAAGTTGATATAGATATAGCATGAATGTCAACATTTTCAGCACAATGGCTCAGTGGTTAGCACAGCAAGAAGGTCCTGGGTTCAATCCCCGGTTGGATCTGGTGTCTTTCTGTGTGGCGTTTGCATGTTCTTCTCATGCTTGCGTGGATTTTCTCTGGGTACTCCGGTTTCCTCCCACAGATCAAAAAACATGCATGTTAGGCTGCCTTCAGGCCTCCATTGCAAAAGAGATCTGTGATCTCAATGGGATTTGCCTGGTTAAATAAATTATCAGTCGAGTTCTTTTACTTTCCTCATGTGTATCTAGACAAGTACCAGTAGTAGTTTTGTTTTGAACTAAAATTCAACTATCTCACACTTTTTTTTATTCTCATTTTGTCAAAAACAACACTAAAGAAATGTGGTATTTGTGTTCAAGATTAGTCAGAAGTCTCATCCAAGCCTATAAGCCTATATTTGATTATTAAGAACATCTCACACTGCAAATGGGTGCATTGAAGGATTTCCGCATCACGTCATCTCCAAGAGTTTGGCTATCTTACTTATTGTCTTATTAATATTTGTTGCATGCAAATCTTTTAAATGGCCTGAGCACCCTTATGTTTAAGACTTTCCTGTCTGCTGCAAAAAACACAACATTCACTTCTACACGTCTAAAAGTCACGCTGCTCTGCTCACGAGGACAGAATCACCTTTAGTTGTTTCACTTTCTCGCACCAGGAAAGTTCCTCGCTTATTGCCAGGAACGAGCAGCAACCTCTCAGCATCTTTGCGCCCCATTTTGCCAAAGTACCACCTGAGAAAAGGAAGCATTTTTCACCGACAGAAAGAAAAGCTAAATGAGCAGAACACGTTCGATTGCTTAGATGATCCAGAGCACATTAAGATGCTTTGTCCAGGTTGTGCAGCTATAATAATAGATCACACTGAGACTTCTGAAACATGTCTGCGATACAGGCTGGAATAATGAGATTATAAAAAGCAGCAACGAGGTCTCACTCTTCAGCCTGAATAGAATCAGCAGGAGCCACATAATTGCTGGGGATGTAGCCGTTCTTCCCAGTGTTGATGGAGCGAGCCTCCCACCAGTCTCCTTCCCTGCAGGAAGAACAATGACACGGGAGAGAGACCACGAATGGTTCGGCTCAGGACTGACACATATGACTGATAGCAGCGATAAAGCACTGCTAATGGTGGTTAAAATATTTAAGCACCGCCCTAATGAAAAGAGCTAGAAATGATACGGCTGTAAATCTTATTGCGCTGCTGAACACCTGAATTGAATGAGATTAATTTCCTTTGCATTACAGTTCGGTAATCTTAGATGAAACCCCTGCAGGGGGGAGTGTACAAAAGCAGCAATGTAACTCATTCATGAACTGAAAAAGCATAGACAGGTGCAGCGGAACAATACGGAGCGACACACGCAGCCCTCGAACACATACTGAAGGAGATAAAAAGCCAAAAAAAAATCTTACGTATTGTTGATGATCTGAAAGCGATCTCCCTTTTTAAACGTAAGATCATCCGACGTTCTTGCTTCGTAATCATACAAGGCGACAAAGAAAGTGACGCCGCCTGAAAAGAGAAAACCAAGACTGGAATTCATAAATAAGGTGTTGGTTTTATCTGCGCTGCAGGGCTGGATGCATGATGGATGGATCTGTTGTTTCAAGGACCAGGAGGCCTACTTTTCTGTTTTGCTTTATTTTGTAAAGTTACAGACAAATGTGATTGTGATCAGACTGCAAAGATGAAAGTTTTTTCACAAGCTAGCGTCTGAATTCAGTTATCATTTAAATCAGATTAAAGCAGCAAGTTTCTGGAGCTTTAATCAAAGTCATCATAAAAGCCACATGTCATTAGTTGACGCAACAGATCAGCTAATTTTTCAAATCGTGTCTATTGTGTAGCAGCCCCCGCACACAGAAGACTTTCACAAAACAACAATGCTTTCAACAATAATCCTATTACCACCTGCTGAAAGCAAACGCCACCACAGTGGCACCTTTGCTCCCCGTATTAATCCAACATGGAGGAGGATTATAACCTAAAGTCTCAACTAATATGGACTCAGCTCTTTTTGCTGCAGATCATAGCTGAGAGCAGGTTGTGCTAGTGATATCAACTTAAAATAAAAAAATAAAAATGACAGTCTAAATGATATGTAGCAGGATTAATGATTCTTTCACCCCGAATCAACGTTATGACAAAAACAGTCATTCTGCTGTATATCATGTCTTTAAAACTGGATTTTAATACAGCAAAAAATGCAAAAACGATCACGAAATTTCATATATTTAAAGATGAAAAATGCGCTTCAGGGAGAAATACTGTATTTTTCAGCTTAAAGGTCACGTTTTTTGCATAATTTACATGCCCTGCAACGTAAAGGCCGAAGCGACGCATTTATGGATTTTCCCCATATTTATAAAACCAACTTTTGGCTGAGATGTGACGGTTTTCATTCATTTAGACTGAAAAAAATTGAACACTGCCATTTTCAGCTGCTAGATGGCACCAAAGACTTGTAAGGCACGCCATTGTATCATATAATAGGTAAACGTGGCTGGCTATAATGACAAATTCAAAAAAGTTCAAGACAAAAATAACTGGACTTTATTTATTATACTTTACTTTATACTTTATTGTTTTTGACTTGAATTTTTTTTAATTTACCATGTCCTGGATGACTGAGAATCTTCACCAGCTATTAATGACACAATCGGCCTGCCAAAGTCTCCCCACCTTCATTCTGCTTGCTGCTTGGAGCAACTGTCAAACCAGCTTCATTTCGAAGCACCGCCCCGGCGAAATGCAGCTTCTTTGACTATTTAAGTGCATTTATTAAGCAAAAGTTAGACTAAGACACACATTTGCTATAAAGTCAAGCAAACAAATAATTGTTTTTAGGCATTTATCTTGTTAAATTCTTGTTAAAGTCCTCCCGTGCATGCTCCCGCGGCCGCCATTTGGCAGCCCATCGATTTTTGGCACATCGGCCCACATTTCCAGCTTGTCGGCAGTCATGCGTAACAAACGCGACGTGTCAGTGGTGACGCATAATAGATGCGACGTATACGGCGAAGTGACATATTTATGGATTTTTCCACTTTATTCGACATATTTGGACTGCTCCGACTTATAGGGCGGTGCGACGTGTACGACGGGAAATACGGTACTCAAGTAATACTGACTTGAGATGGCACCAGAGAAAGAGTTGGACATAGGCCCGGAGAACGAGGTTGACGTTCCTCCAAAAGGCGTAATGGCAGAGGAGGAGCCTCCAAATGGAGTGAGGGTGTGGTTGAAGTTTACAGCTGAAGATGAGGGAGCTTGATTCAGCTGCGGCTGTGTCGGATCTGGCCCGTAGTGACCGGCGTGAGGCGTGGTGGCGGCGACATTGGCGTCCGACTCTTGAGAGTTCTCTGTCTGATACTTCATCGTGGGGCCTTTATCTTCTTTGCTTTTAACGCAGCCCATTGTCTCGCCCTGCCTGAACAGACACAAGCAGAGGAGATTAATTTATTACCAAAAGAACAGATAAAATAGGGCAACGTCGAGCGAAAGGCTTAGGGTGTGATTAATGACTGCAACATGGGGTTTACAGGCATTGGAACATTACAAAACCAGAACGTAATGACCTGATGGTATTTTGTAAATCATTCTGCTGTTGGTTCAATCACTAAGACTTTAAGCCCAGTGATAACTGGGACGTATGGTAAAAAGAAAATCAGCTTTGAATCATTGTTTTAAACATGGGCATGCATGTTGTGCATTCATGTTAAAAGACTTGTAAAACAAAGGGATAACGTGCAGGTTATGGCCATTTTAAGTATTATAATCTATTACATGCATTTCTTGTATGCAGATTCAAGCTGCTTTACATGAATTAACTTTTTCTAATAATTTCATTTTTGCCTTCATACAAATAAAACCAGCCGTTTATGTGACCCTCATCAAGATGTGTGTTTCAGCAGCAAAATAATTTTGAATATTTGCAGACCTTAACTTTTGTCACAATGTTAGGCTAATGTTGTTAGCAATAGAAGATTTTCACACCGAGTTATTTTATGAACAGTGACGTTCTTTTAAGCAATACCAAATTAAAACACTTAATTTTCCACACACCAGCATCAATCACTCATATTGACACAGAATCATTTCCTCATCCTTATTTGGGATTGCACATCCACCAGAAGTTACTTGATTTTTTTAAAGGCTGGAGCCAACACTGTCAATGCATGGTAGCAACTTTGTCTCCACAGTTCCCTTTGTGGACAGCAGAGGTTAACCACAAGACACTTGTGGTCCGGATTGCACAGTTTAGTTTAGCAAGCCAGAAAACACTATAACACAAAGTTCATTTTAGTTAGCACTCCAGATAATAAATAAAGCAGCTATCTTCCCTTAAACAGTCAAACTATTATCTCACTTGTGGCTGTTAGCAAATAGTCGGCAAACAGCCTTTGCAAAAAAAAAAAAAAAAACCTCTTCAAAATGTCACAAAATGTTCACTTAGGTTGTTCCTTTTTTTGAGTTGTAATCTCACAGTGTTGCTGCTTGAATTTTGAACATGTTCAAACAAAAGTTTTGCAACAAATTTAGTCTGAAATTAGCCTCAGAGTTGTTGCTGGTATCTTGAAGTTGCTTCAATTAAACTTCCATAACTCTTGTGCTAGAGCTAAATATTGACATATTTTGCACCGAAGAAAAAAAACCAAGGCTACAGATCCAAGTGTCCAGGTCTAATCATGATGATGGTCAATAGGAAAACCTAAAAATGAGCATCAAAGGCCCAACAACAACAGCCTCCTCACCATCACAGACATCTACACCTCTAGATGCAGGAATAGGGCCACCTGCATCACGAAGGACACCACTCACCCAGCACACACACTTTTTGCCCCGCTCCCCTCATGATGGATGTTAAGGAGCATTAATGAGCCACATGTACCACATGTGGTGCGAACGACAATAAAGAATATCTGAATCTGAAGAAAGATGAACCGCAGGATCCTTGCCCTGGGGGGGGGGGGGATGACAAAAACATACTAAATATTGAAGTAAAAACCTCTAAACTGGTCAAACTAATAAAAAAAACCCCAGTAATGTACAACTTTGAAGTCAAAAACTTGTTAAAACGGAAATATCAAGGTTAGGATGATTAAATAAGTGAAATATTCAGATATATCTCAGTATTAGCTGTTAGACTTGAATTCCCTCCCTGAGATAAATAAAGTATCTATCTATCTATCTATCTATCTATCTATCTATCTATCTATCTATCTATCTATCTATCTATCTATCTATCTATCTATCTATCTATCTATCTATCTATCTATCTATCTATCTATCTATCTATCTATCTATCTATCTATCTATCTATCTATCTATCTATCTATCTATCTATCTATCTATCTATCTATCTATCTATCTATCTATCTATCTATC